AAACAGAAGCAACAAATTTCCTCTATCAAAAAATTTACTTAATCACAATTTTCAGAACAGATCTTCAGCAGGGGCCCAGAAGAACCTGTAATTCAATGTGAAATCAACCTTTATCATTCTTTGGTGCAGAAAAAGTTAAGTTTGGTTTCCATAATAACATTATACTAGTTAAAAGGTTTAACTGGTTCATAATAACACTGGATAACCTGTAGCTCACAAGTCAGTGTTGTCCCATACACCAAAAGTTTTCAGGTTTGATCCCTGGTCCAGGTGCTTACGGGAGGCAATGGATATATATATATATCTTTCTCTCTCTCGGAACATATCCTTAGGTGAAGATTTGGGGTGGGGAAGGGGTATTCACCAAAACATCTACTTAATAGCTCTAAGAATTGAATTTTGAATATCTGTTTTTGAAATTTACTTGAACCTATAGTCTTATAGGTTCCCACCTAATATTAGCATCAAAAAGCATTCAATGACTCTGCATATGGCATTATATCTATACTAATAAAAGGGTAATATGTTAGTTAGACTGAGAGACCTTCTGGGAGATCTTCCGGATGTCCTTCTGGACAAAGCCATGGTGGCAGGGCAGCAGGGGGGGTAGTTAGGGGTGATCAGGCCGGCACACAGAGGCAGTGAGTGGTGATCAGGCCAGCAGAGGGGGGGCAGTTAGGGGCAATCAGGCAGGCAGGCAGGTGAGCAATTAGGAGTCAGCAGTCCTGGATTGCGAGAGGGATGTCCAACTGCTGGTTTAGACAGTCAGACATCCCTCAAGGGTTCCCGGATTGGAGAGGGTGCAAGCCAGGCTGAGGGACACGCTCCCCCGCTCCCCCGCCCCCTGCCCGCACGAATTTTGTGCACCGGGCCACTAATTAGGTCATAAAAGATTCAGTTTTATGAACATGATTTTCTCCACTAGATATAAATTTTAAGGCAGCAGATACAACCATATATCCTAATGAAAGCTGAAAAATCTATTCAATTTTTTAGTTAAACAATCCCCAGTCCTGATTTTGTTATGCTGCAGAGCATTTCACTTATGAGGTTTTAGTTGAAAAACCCTCAAGTCAAAAGTAAATTATATCCATTCTAACTTTAAAAATTTTTAGTGCTATGTAAAATTTTTTGAGGGCATCGTACATGAGCATACATAGTCTTAGACTTGTTTTAGCTTGTTTCTTATGTACAGATTTTATATTTGACACCTACAAATTAAGATTCTATGCAATAAACCATATAATTGTATTATGTAATGCTTAGTAAAAAATTATTTCAACCCAAAGAGCTTATTAGTCTAGATTTCAAGCATCTCTTATTGCTGAATTTATAACTATTCCAATAAGTCTTTGACATCATATAAACATAAAAAAACCTATCACAGAAAATACTAATCAGCCCTAACTGGTTTGGCTCAGTGGATAGAGCGTCAGCCTGCGGACTGAAGGGCCCCAGGTTCGATTCCGGTCAAGGGCATATACCTTGTTTGCAGGCACATCCCCAGTAGGGGGTGTGCAGGAGGCAGCTGATGGATGTTTCTCTCTCATCGATGTTTCTAACTCTCTATCCCTCTCCCTTCCTCTCTGTAAAAAATAAATAAAATATATTTTTTTTAAAAAGGAAATACTAATCATGCCAGACCAAAGACATCAAGTATCTTTAGCTATAGTTAACTTCTGTGAGAAATAAATATGCAAGTTAAAAATTCATATACAAACTACTATTTTATCCAACAGTTTAGAAGAGAAAAACAGAAGAAAATATTTCTCAATAACTAGAGCAGACAAAGAAAAGTATTTTGGGAGTCTAGCCTTATGACACAAAAACCATTGAATTCTTCCACAGAATGTTAACTCAGCAAATATGTACTATCATATATATGTATGTGGCAATGGGCTAGTGACAGGAATCCTGTGCTGGGAGTTACAACACTCACTAGCCATACACTTTAAACTCTCAAAAATTCTTCAGAACCTAATGAACTGCTCAACAGAAGTATAAATTACAAATTAATTACCAAAACTGAAAAGAAGCCCAATGTGTAGTAGAGACATACATAACTGTTTTCACCTAAAGGCAGATAATTATGGTCACACTGAAAGGCTCCAAGACCAGCCCCATAATTCCTCTTTCACTTTGCCCAACCTCTTCCCTCTCAATGTAGTAGGATGGAGAGGTGAGTAGTCAAGATTTTAAAGATCCTCAAATTTCATTCCCCTTCAGGAAGACACAGTTCTTCTATGAGCCCCTCTTTCCCACTATGTGATAAATAGCAACTCAATAGAAGCCTAAAGAGTTGCCAATAGTTGACAGTGGTTTTATTAGGGGCAGAAATAGAATACTGGGGACTAGCTATGTGGATGAAAAGGGGCCACATGCTAACCTGACAAGCTCAGGGGAGGCCTGCATGGTGGTCTTGCAAACTCAGAGATTTATTAGGGGCAGAAATAGAATACTGGGGACTAGCTATGTGGGCGAAAAGGGGCCACATGCTAACCTGACAAGCTCAGGGGAGGCCTGCATGGTGGTCTTGCAAACTCAGAGACCTAAAGTAACCACAAAGAAGAGTCTGAAATTAAACTTTAACTAAAAGCAGTTATAGTGGGTAGTTACTTCCTAGGCCGGTATTCACTGACAAGGTCAACCTTTACCTTAACTGAGCCTGTCTTTTTGCATCTATAACATACCCTTGAAATGTCTGGGTAACTTGTTGTAACTTCCCTTTTTCTGGACCCTTGGGGCACAACCTAATGTGCCTGGGCACCAGGACAGATACCACAAGTTCTTTCATTGTTATATTAATTGTTCCTGCACCCACCCTAAGTATGTGTCTATCATTTTACTTTTTATCCAATCCCAGGGGTCCCCCCACCCCCCGTGTTGCTTTCTCCCGCCTCTCTAGTCTATCACTAACCCACCTGATGACCATCAGGACGACCATCTGGGAGCACGCTATGACACCCACTGGTGCCAGGCCAGCCAAGGTGGGTACAATGCGATTGGTCAGAGTCCCGGCCATTGCCCCATGATCACCCCACAGAGGGAGGCCCAGGCCACTGGCTGGTGGGGCAATCAATCAGGGGTTCCACAATCGCCCCAAAGAGGGAGGCCCAGGCCACTGCCCGGCAGGCTGCAGTGGGTGTGTGGGGCCTCCCTCTGCAAGGGAAGCCTGGGTCCCGGGTACCGGCAGCGGGAGGATAGGGGAGAGAAGAAGGCCTACTCTTGCATGAATTTCATGCATTGGGCCTCTAGTGTATAAATACAGAAGTAACCGCAGTTTTTTGGAGCATTATCTCAATCTGTTGAGGTTCTGCTTCCCAGCAATTGTCGACAGTTTGGCTCAAATAAACTCACAAAAAATCTTTTCCGGTTTGAAATGTTTTTATGTTAACAGCTATTAGAAATGTTAGTAAGAAATATTAATCATGCTCTGTTAACTGTGATTGTTTTGTTCTAATTAAAGACAGCACATTCTAACCTGGCTGGGAGCTGTACACAGGACCTGCGAGGTCATCTGGAAATGTAGCCCACCCTCCCCATGCCAAATCTGCCTATTACCATGCAAAGATTAACAGCCTTTCTGCAGAAAGCAAACAATGGAGTCCGGGATGCTTCCAGTCCTTTGCAAACCTCCAGCCACATTGCCTACATTGCCTATAATCTGTAACCATCATACCCATTCTTATTCCTTTGCCCACTTCCCCATGTTATCTTTGTCCAGGTACCCCATATAAGCAACTGGCTTATGGGGGGAGCGGGGGGGGGGGGGTGCAGAGCAGATTTTCATGGCTGACCTGCTACTCTCCCATACTGCTGGGATTATTGGAATAAATGCTCATTTATGATTCAATCCTGTCTCTGTTGTATTGGCTCAATTAGTGATAGGCAGCCAGGACCAATTGGTTGTTGGTTGTCTGGTTTCAGCTTCAGTGTGATTGGTGGAACAAAAAAGGACAATAGGGGAAAATCATCCAGGATTTTCTCTGACTATAGAAGCTTTGCAGAAAAGATACAGAATAAAAAACACCACTGGGTAAAGGCAATCAGGAAACACCTGAACCTCCATTCTCCACCTACTTAAAAGAAGAGCAAAATGAAGAAAAGTTGCTCAGACTCTAATGAAACAAAGAAACCTTAGATAATGGGGATTCAGTAACTGGCATTCCTCAAATTAAGGAAGGAAGAGAGTGTCCTAGAGGCCAAGCATACTTGACCCAACAGAGGTCACAAATAAGAAATGGTTAGCTTCTTCTTGGACTGGGGAAGAGAAGGTGAATTCTAAAATGATAAGCTTGTGCTTTTGTTGGAGGATTCCAAGGCAGGAGGAATATGGACACTGAGATAAAAAGTTAAAACAAGGCCAAACAGTGTGGGCAATTTGCAGCCAGCTTGCAAATAACAAGCGATTATCTTCCCCAGCCAAGGACAAAAGCCTCACTGAGAGAATGCAGAAAAGGAAGAGAGAAGGGCGTTAGGATGAATTACCCTTAATCTCTCCTGTATGGACATGTTTTCTGAAATATATATTACAAGCCTTTTCCCATAGCTTGGAGCAGACAGCTGGCGCCTGCAGAAGCAAGATAAGATGAATCCCCCTTCCCTTGACCAACTCATGCCCTCCTCTCTGCTTGACCGACTCATGCACCCATACCCTGACCCTATATTTCACACTTCTACCCTATATAAAAGAACCTAGACGTCCCTTTGGAGCTGACAACCAACACACTGGTCTCAGCCAGCTGTGTTGCTGAGAGAATGCAATAAAATTTCTTAAACTTTCACAATGTCTCTTGGCCTGGCTCTGGACCTAAGAAAAGGGAAAAAAGGATAATTTTACTCCCTAAGCAGAGAAGCCAGACTTCAAGGCTTGGCAAGATAAAATTGCCCGGTACTTCTCATGAGTTCTGGGAAAGTAACAACAAAGTAAAAAGGGACCTTGAGAACTAATCTGGTAACAAAATATTCAGCAGAGGAACTTTGAAACTTATAGGCAGGAGAATATATACAGACAGTCGTCAGATTACATCGGACTCGACGTACATCGTTTTGTGGTTACGTCGCCGTCTCCCATTTATTTATTAAAGAAAAAAAAGTTCAGTCATTTTGATGTATGTACATATTTGCTTTATGTTTTTTAACATTTACTTACCACAAGTAAAGGTCAGGAATCATTATCTTTCTTTTAAATTTTTTTATTGTTTCACTTCATTACTGCTGTGTATGTGTTCCATGTGAGTGACGCATGTAGGTGGGTTCCGACTTATGGCGAAAATCGCTTTACGTTGCGCCGTAGGAACGGATCTCTGACCTAACCCAAGGAGCTACTGTATAACACCTCAGACCTCCACCCAACTCACTATTCAGATTAGCTGAGAGCCCTTATGTGCTTCATAAGCCAGATGTACAGATTTGCTTTCCTTGCTTCTTTAATGAAGGTGCATATTTTGTTTTGTTTGTTTGTTTGTTTTAAAATATATTTTATTGATTTTTTACAGAGAGGAGGGGAGAGGGATAGAGAGTTAGAAACATCGATGAGAGAGAAACATCCATCAGCTGCCTCCTGCACACCTCCTACTGGGGATGTGCCCGCAACCAAGGTACATGCCCTTGACCGGAATTGAACCTGGGACCCTTCAGTCCACAGGCCGACTCTCTATCCACTGAGCCAAACCGGTTTCGGCGCATATTTTGTTTTAATAAAATTGGCTTCATCATAAGGCAGTCAGGGTCTCATTCGTATAAATTCATTTATATGAGAAGGCAAGAATGGAATTTGGAGACAGCCCTCTCTCCCACTGACTCAGGGGACTGAATAACACCTCTGATGTGAGAGGTGTGTCTAACACTTTCATTAACTGTTTAAAGCTATTTGGAAAATCGATTCTGAAAACTGACAAATGCCGATGTACTAGGGAAAAATTGTGATCTATTCAAAGTAAAGACTCGGGCATGGGAAAACCATTACATGAACAGGCTAGCTATGAGTTTTTACAGTAAATGTAACTAAAGAAGATTAAACAAGTGTTGTTATCATGAACATGATGCTAAATGTAACTGTTACTCTTCTTCCTAAAAAGACATGAAATTTATAGGAATTTACTGTAGTGTAGCAGTACTACTACTATTTATTAAAATGGAATGGGTCCCGGAGCAAATGGAGTGAGCAGCTGAAACTGATAGCACCCACCCCGAATTGGCGAAATCGCTCAGCTGGTGAGACAGATTGCAGCCGGGAAGGGCAGAGATCCCCTGGAAAGGTGGAAAACCAGGGATCTGGGCAGGAAACTTTGCCAGACCTCTGAGCCCAGAGGGTCGGAGGGAGACCGCGTGGCAGACAGCCGCGTCTCTTGGGACAAACACAGCCCCTGACTGGGGAAAGGAGTTCCACGGGATTCCTGGCGCCGGGGGATTTGAGATTTGGATTCTGTGATTATGGAGGACTGAGCCTAAAGCGGGCAGCCTGAGGAACGGACCAGACCATGCAGTGCCGGTAAGAGAGGAGTGT